AAAATTGATCCAGCATCTTTGTCAGTAGGTCTATCAAGTTACCAAAGAAATTCAAGAAGAGTGAAGGAAAAAATAGGAAAAGAGTGGAAAAGGAGAGTAGAGAGGAAGTGCTTCAGTTGGAAGCAGTTGCAGAGATCCATTAACAACGTTTTACAATTAATTTTGAGATCTGTCGCGGATCTCAAGATACTTTAGAAGCTCTTGTTTGAGGCTGAAGCGCTGAAGGGGTATCCAAGCTGCATATTTCAAACGATGTGATATCAATCAGGAGATCTTCAGTTGATCTCTGTTCCAGGAATCTATGTTTCAACAACTGTTTTTATCGGCAGTAAAACAAAAAGAGCAGGTATCCAAATGAATCTGCATACTGCAGGAGCTACTTGACCCATGACGAACCTTGACGAAAAGTTGCTCCAGCTGCTTTGACAGTACATCTATCACATTTGGTTTTCCAGTAACCAAACAAGAAGAAAAAATGGGAGAATAAAGAAAGACATTGAGAAGAGAGTAGAGAAGAAAAAGTGCGTCAGTTGGAAGCAGCTGCGGAGATGCACTGACGACGTTAAATAGAATTCGGAAGCTGTGAACTTATCCAACAATTAATTTGAAGATCTGTCGCGGATCTTAAGATACTATAAAAGCTTTTTGTTTCACTCCAAAGAGCTACATTGGAATCTAAATACAGCTGCTCATTGCAAACGAAGCTACTTGACCCATGACGTACCTTGATGAAAAATTGCTCCAATATCCTTATCAGTAGGTCTATCAAATAACCAAACAAATTCGAGAAGAATGAAGAAAAAATAAGAAAAGGGAGGAAGAAGACAGAAAAGAGGAAGTGCTTCAGTTGGAAGCAGTAGCAGAGATGCATCGACAACGTCTTACAATTAATTTTGAGATCTGTCGCGGATCTAAAGATACTTTAGAAGCTTTTGTTTGACGCTGAAGCGCTGGAGGGGTATATGAATCCAAGCTGCATATTTCAAACCATGTGATATCAGTCAGGAGATCTTCAGTTGATCTCTGTTCCAGGAATCTATGTTTCAACAACTGTTTTTATCGGCAGTAAAACAAAAAGAGTAGGTATCCAAATGAATCTGCATACTGCAGGAGCTACTTGACCCATGACGAACCTTGACGAAAAGTTGCTCCAGCTGCGTTGACAGTACGTCTATCAAATTTGGTTTTCCAGTAACCAAACAAGAAGAAAAAAGGGGAGAATAAAGAAAGACATTGAGAAGAGAGTAGAGAAGAAAAAGTGCGTCAGTTGGAAGCAGTTGCGGAGATGCACTGACAACGTTAACTAGAATTGGGAAGCTGTGAACTTGTCCAACAATTAATTTGAAGATCTTTTGCGGATCTTAAGATACTATAGGAGTTTTTTGTTTGACTCCAAAGAGCTAAATCCAGCTGCTTATTGCAAACGAAGCTACTTGACCCATGACGTACCTTGATGAAAAATTGCTCCAGTATCCTTATCAGTAGGTCTGTCAAATTACCAAATAAATTCGAGAAGAATGAAGAAAAAATAAGAAAAGGGAGGAAGAAGACAGAAAAGATGAAGTGCTTCAGTTGGAAGCAGTTGCAGATATGCATTGATAACGTTAACTAGAATTCGAGAATTTTGAACTGATCTAACAACTGATTTTAAGATCTGTCGCGGATCTCAAGATACTTTAGAAGCTTTTTGTTCGACTCTAAAGCGCTGAGGAGTATCTAAATCCAGCTACATATTGCAAACGATGTGATATCAGTCAGGAAATCTTGTGATGTGGATACTGCAGAAGCTACTTAACCCATGACGAAGCTTGATGGAAAATTGATCCAGCATCGTTGTCAGTAGGTCTATCAAGTTACCAAAGAAATTCAAGAAGAGTGAAGGAAAAATTAAGGAAAGGGTGGAAAAGGACGGTAGAGAGGAAGTGCTTCAGTTGGAAGCAGTTGCAGATATGCATTGACAATGTCTTACAATTAATTTTGAGATCTGTCGCGGATCTCAAGATACTTTAGAAGCTTTTTGTTTGACTCTAAAGCGCTGGAGGGGTATATGAATCCGAGCTGCATATTTCAAACGATGTGATATCAGTCAGGAGATCTTCAGTTGATCTCTGTTCCAGGAATCTATGTTTCAACAACTGTTTTTATCGGTAGTAAAACAAAAAGAGCAGGTATCCAAATGAATCTGCATACTGCAGGAGCTACTTGACCCATGACGAACCTTGACGAAAAGTTGCTCCAGCTGCTTTGACAGTACATCTATCACATTTGGTTTTCCAGTAACCAAACAAAGAGAAAAAAAGGGGAGAATAAAGAAAGACATTGAGAAGAGAGTAGAGAAGAAAAAGCGCGTCAGTTGGAAGCAGCTGCGGAGATGCACTGACGACGTTAACTAGAATTCGGAAGCTGTGAACTTATCCAACAATTAATTTGAAGATCTTTCGCGGATCTTAAGATACTATAGAAGTTTTTTGTTTAACTCCAAATAGCTAAAGGGGAATCTAAACCCAGCTGCTTATTGCAAACGAAGCTACTTGACCCATGACGTACCTTGATGAAAAATTGCTCCAGTATCCTTATCAGTAAGTCTATCAAATTACCAAACAAATTCGAGAAAAATGAAGAAAAAATAAGACAAGGGAGGAAGAAGAGAGAAGAGAGGAAGTGCTTCAGTTGGAAGCAGTTGCAGAGATGGCTTGACAACGTAACTAGAATTCGAGAATTTTGAACTGATCTAACAACTGATTTTAGGATCTCAAGATACTTTAGAAGCTTTTTGTTTGACTGTAAAGTGCTGAGGAGTATTTAAATCCAGCTACATATTGCAAACGATGTGATATCAGTCAGGAAATCTTGTGATGTGTATACTGCAGAAGCTACTTAATCCATGACAAAACTTGATAAAAAATTGCTCCAGCACTTTGTCAGTAGGTCTATCAAGTTACTAAAGAAATTCAAGAAGAGTGAAGGAAAAAATAAGAAAAGGGTGGAAAAAGAGAGTAGAGAGGAAGTGCTTCAGTTGGAGGCACTTGCAGAGATGCATTGACAATTTTGAGATCTGTCGCGGATCACAAGATTTTTGTTTGACTTTAAAGCGCTGGAGGGGTATATGAATCCAAGCTGCATATTTCAAACGATGTGATATCAGTCAGGAGATCTTCAGTTGATCTCTGTTCCGGGAATCTATGTTTCAACAACTGTTTTTATCGGCAGTAAAACAAAAAGTGTAGGTATCCAAATGAATCTGCATACTGCAGGAGCTACTTGACCCATGACGAACCTTGACGAAATGTTGCTCCAGCTGCTTTGACAGTTCATCTATCACATTTGGTTTTCCAGTAACCAAACAAGAAGAAAAAAAGGGGAGAATAAAGAAAGACATTGAGAAGAGAGTAGAGAAGAAAAAGTGCGTCAGTTGGAAGCAGCTGCGGAGATGCACTGACGACGTTAACTAGAATTCGGAAGCTGTGAAGTTATCCAACAATTAATTTGAAGATCCGACGCGGATCTTAAGATACTATAAAAGCTTTTTGTTTCAGTCCAAAGAGCTAAAGGGGAATCTAAATCCAGCTGCTCATTGCAAATGAAGCTACTTGACCCATGACGTACCTTGATGAAAAATTGCTGCTATTTTGAGATCTGTCGCGGATCTCAAGATACTTTAGAAGCTCTTGTTTGACGCTGAAGCGCTGAAGGGGTGTCTGAACCCAAACTGCATATTGCAAATGACGTTCAAGAGATCCGTACTGTAGCAGCTGCTTTCAACAGGCAGTAAAACTAAAAGAGTACGTACGCGAATTCATCTGCATACTGCAGACGCTACTTGACCCATCACGAATCTTGATCAGAGTTGGCTCCGGCAACGGCAGCCTCGAGCTCCGGTAGCGAGCGGTTAGCGTTCCAGAAATAACCTTCCCCTATCGTCCCCCACCCCTGACTGCAGATCGATGTGCTAAAAATAGCTCCCGGTCGCGTGGCGGCGGGCGGACGACCTAATACGCGTTGCGGCAAATCGTCGCGCTGCGGTTATACGGAAAAGAACTATTAAATATTCAGCATCCCCGAAAACGCAGGTGAAGATTCGCACCATCTGCGACATTTCAACTCGTTTATCTACGCAGGTAGAAGTTATACGTTCTTGCGATTCGGTTAACTTGTTCATGTTAAGAAAAATACTGCAATATCTCAATTTGTTCAAAAAGTACTCGAGCAATTAGAGGAGGGAAAGTTAGCAGTTGGTTTCTATCTGGACTTGTCCAAAGCTTACGAGCTGCACTTGAGTTGTTCAAGTCATACCTCTATAATAGAGAACATAATGTTGAAATTGTTAAAGGAGGTCAAAATTACAAGTAAAACATTGATTTTTCTTGCACCTGTATAGCACAGGGCAGTATACTTGGGCTCATTTTGTTTGTAGTTGTTTTAAATGATCTCTTGTTAATAGTGGCGATGAGAGCAACCATAAAAGTATCCGCTATGCTGATGACACACATTTAGTGTTGGGTGGTACTGGTGTGGAGGACCTAACTGCTAATGGGTATGTCTTGTTCAAAAGTGTGAGTTCATGGTTCTCTGAGAACAAGCTAGTTCTGAATGAACCCAAAACTGATGCAATATCATTTAGAACTAAGCAGATATAGAAGATGGTCATCAACTGCGCTTAAGTGAAAGTGTAAATCTCTTAGGCCCGTATCGTCAGTCGTCCCTACAATTGTAGGGCGCCTTTATGGCCTCCTTGATTGTCATAGTTTTCTACTTCTCCGTGTCAGCGCTCTATTTTGAGGTTATGTCACAAACATCTATTTGCATCAAATTGTACTTGCTTTTGAGTTATATCATATGTTTTATCAGCGTGAAATTTCCTACAATTTAAAAATAAAACATATCTTCACAATAGGAGAGCGCCGACGCTGACACGGGACAAGTGTAATCTAGAAATTTTTTCCATGATGAAATGTCGAACAATACTGAAACAGAAAATGTCAAATTAGTTGTCATGACGCATGCGCCACAAGCAATCACAGCCACACCAAAAAAGTACCTCTAAATGAATCACCCGTTATAAATAAATATGCTTTCTCTATCACTACTCATCTTATTTTCAGCAAAACTGGATGGCGTGAAGACATACATGCGCATGCGGCGAGTACCAAACCATCTACAGGTGAAAGTGATCAAATGGTTTGACTACCTGTGGCTGACGCAAAAATGCTCGGATGAAGAGAAGGCAGTGTCGTGTCTGCCGGACAAGCTGAAAGCAGAGATAGCCATAAATGTACATTTGGATACACTGAAGAGGGTCGAGATCTTTCAAAACACGGAAGCGGGCTTCTTGTGTGAATTGGTGCTTAGGTTGAGGCCGGTGCTGTTTTCTCCTGGGGATTACATCTGTCGCAAGGGTAAATGTATACAGCGCGTTCTATAAATAACAGTTTAAAAAAACATGCTTTTATAGCTAATCAAACTAAAAAGTAGAACATAATTTTTGATTGTAAAGAGTTTATATTAAAGTAGTAGATGGTCAATCATAACACTGATCAACAGCCAAACAATATCCTAAATAAAATCAACAAAATATTACTATTTTTAATGTGCTAAAACCGGAATGAAACTTATTTTTTCAATATTAGTTCAAGTTTTAGAGATACGGTAACTATATGTGTTCCTGCTGTGACAGTGTTAATATACTGTAATTCACAAGAATGCACGTGCTACATTTTTATATTCGGCAAGGAAAGATGATGTAATCGGCATGATTGTGTTACGTTATACATACGTGTACATTATATTGTTTTATATTAGCCATTTTTTCCTCAGTTGGCTGACAGCGTTCATGCAAGATGTCTCGAAAGTGTGTAAACAATACAGATTAGTTTTGTTACGTGTGTGGTGATGTGACTTTTGCGTCTCAGAGACGGTCTATTACTCCACTAATAACAAAGGCATATCAGCTTTATTTCGGTTGTAAACTAGGTGATCAAGACAAACAGTGGGCACACATCTGCTGTAATACATGTGCTTCAAGTCTGAGGAGCTGGTTAAATGGCAAAAAACAGTCTATGCGCTTTGCTGTCCCAATGGTTTGGAGAGAGCCTACAAATCATATTAATGATTGTTACTTTTGCATGGTACCTTGTGTTGGACAAGCCACAGGTATGTCCAAGAAAAAAAATCGGTTAGTAACTACCCAAACATACCATCTCCGATGAGACCTGGGCCTCACAGTGACGAAAATCCTATTCCAAAACCCCCAGAATCCTACACCTGCGAATCAGAAAACGAATCAGATCATGGCGATCGAGTGATTCGTCAGGAAGAAGATATGCCATCAACGTCAAGAGATCCTGATTTTATACCGAGCACGTCATGCCACCAACCGCACAAAATAACACAGTCAGAATTAAATGATCTTGCAAGAGATTTAGAACTTCCAAAATGTAAGGCAGAGTTACTTGGATCAAGACTGCAGCAGTGGAACTTGTTAGAAGTCGATGTTTCGGTATGTGTTTTTCGTAAACGCCACAAAGACTTAGAACCATTTTTCAATATGGAGAATAACTTGGTTTTCTGCAGTAACATTAACGGCTTACTGGCGGCTTTAAATATAAACTATAACCCAGAAGAATGGAGATTATTTATAGACAGTTCAACATTGAGTTTAAAGGCAGTGTTATTGCATATTGGAAATATTTTACCATTTCTTCCTGTAGGGTATGCAGTTCACATGAAAGAATCATATGACAATATGAAGTACCTATTGACATGCATAAAATACGATGAGCACCAATGGCATATTTGTGGCGATTTGAAAGTTGTTGCACTTTTACTTGGGCTGCAGCTAGGCTACACAAAGTTTTGCTGTTTTTTGCGTGAATGGGACAGTCGGGCAAAGGCACTTCATTACACCAGACAAAACTGGCCTGTTCCTCAATTCCTAGAGCCAGGTCAAAAAAATGTACAGCATATGCCATTAGTAGATTCGAAAAAAAATTTATTACCACCACTGCATATCAAGTTGGGCCTAATGAAAAACTTTGTCAAGGCATTAAATAGAGATGGGTCAGCTTTTCAATACCTGCGTCAGAAATTTCCAAGACCAAGTGAGGCAAAGGTTAAAGAAGGTATTTTTGTTGGGCCACAGATTCGAAATATTTTGAAAGATACACAGTTTGAAAACACTTTAACAGGTATTGAAAAAACTGCTTGGAATGATTTCCGTCTGGTGGTCACTAATTTCTTGGGAAATAGAAATGCTGACAACTATAAAACCCTTGTCAAAAATATGCTGTCATCGTATCAAAAGATGGGCTGTAATATGTCTCTTGAGATGCATTTCCTACACTCACACCTGGACTTTTTTGTCAATTGCGGAGCCGTAAGTGATGAGCACGGCAAACGTTTTCATCAGGATATTTCAACAATGGAAAAAAGGTACCAGGGAAAGTGGAATCCTTCCATGCTTGCAGACTACTGTTGGACTCTTGGTAGAGATGCTCCAGAAACGATCCATAAAAGAACAGCAAAAAGACAGCGCATATAGTGATTCTTATAAGTATATGAATCTTGTTACTTTTTTCAATATATCCTTAAAAATAAAAAGTTTTTTTTCTAAACCGCAACTAATTTTTTTATTTCATTGTCATTTTTGGATTCAGCGCCCCAAAATTAACAAAGAAGTGCTCTTTTCCCACAAGATACAATTAAAAAACTAAAATTTGTTGTCCAGTGATAATTAGTGACCTCAAAATAAAATTATAATGAAATTTAAGTTATTAACAGTATAATCCAAATCAGAGTAAAAAGCGCCCATGGCACGGAGACTCGATCTGTTTACTTATTTTATATGGCGTTGATGACGTAACCGCCATGAACGGTGACTACAACTATACTAAAGAATCAGTGTCACAATAAAGCATCACAATATATTACAAAGTGATGGCGATATATACAGTGGCTTTATATATTATACTAAAATAAAACATGTATAGTTTTTCTTATGCGGTACCTAGGTAACTCTATATCCGTATACACCAATCTTAAATAATGTGTAGTGTAACATTTTAATGATAAACTAGTAAAATAAATAAAACAAAATAAATCCAGGTCAAATAACTATTTGACAATCTATATAATCATAATGTCATGCCAATTACTTTGTAGCCACTTAAACAAGGACAAAAATCAACCAACTCAGAATTTAAATCCTTAAAGAAAAATATAAAAAAATGATCAAAACATTTTCATATTTAGCTAGATCAAAGTTTGCCACAACAAATGATCTACATTCTGAACTTAACAATTTTAATTTATTTATCATTCCCAGTGTCCCAGGCAAAATATTGTGAATTTTCGGACCAATATAGTCAATTGATCTTAAGTTTATGTTTTTGAAACTATTGGGTACTATTATATTTCTATCGGCATTAGTTCTGGTTGAATAAGGATGACTAACATATTCTCTTATTAAAGGATTTTTATACATAAAGGAGCAGACTTCTAAAAGCAAGTATTTTTTCACTATAAAGATGACAAGTAAGATATCTTTTGTTTCTTCTAAAAATTATTTTTAACATGTAATTCTGAATAGTTTTTAAAGGCTTTAATGCTGTCTAATATAAACTTGCCCGTATCTGAGTAATGACTCCACTAGGGCTTTATAGACACAGATTGTTTAAAATTTCTCTGATCATGTAAAATTTTCAAATTAGTTTTCGTAGATTGTTAGTTAACCTAAGTACATGTTGCTTCCATTTAAGATTTTGATCTATTATTACACCAAGGTGTTTGGTGTATGGTACCTTTTTTATTTCATTTTTAAAACCGTTGTACTTGTATGCTATTAAAATTTGGTCGATTTGCAGATGTTAAGGGAAAGGCTATGTAATTAGTTTTATCCACATTTAAACTAAGCTTAGACGAATCAAGCCAACATTTTATTTATTCTAATCCAAGAGATGTTTTTTCATATACCTCTTCCCATGATTCCGCGGTCATCACCGCATGTAACCACCATACAATTTTCTAGAATAATATATGTCAAAGAGTTTATATATTATATAAATAGTAGTGGCCCAATAACGGTGCCATGTGGTATTCCCATTTCTATTTCTGACGAGTCACTGATCACATTTCCGATTTTAGTCATCTGTATTCTATCTGTCAGATAACTCGCAAAAACCTCCGACACAACACCCCTGATCCCATAAATATCGATGACATCTAGAAGGGTGTAATGAGGCACTGTGCCATTTCTTTCCTCGATCAAGATTTTTTTAAATGCTTCTTGTAAGCTTAAGTATCGCATCTGAGGTACTGATACCATTGTGAAAACCAAATTGATTTTCTGACAAAAGATTATTACTAGATAATAAGCTTGATAATCTCTCTTCAAGACACTTTTCGAATATTTTAGCAAAATTCGTAATTTTCCAATTGGACGAAAATTTGTAATTTTAGATTTATCTCCCGATCTATATATTGGGGTAACAATAGTCATTTTATAGCATTGGGGTACACAGTCAGTTTTAAAAATTAGATTTATGATGCGTACTAATGGCTCAATTAAGTACAAATAATATTGCTTTATAATTTTCGTTTTTATTCCATCAAAACCGGGTGAACAGTTGTTTTTCAATGAAATGGTATGTTTAATAATAGTATTTCTGTTGACAGGCTTTAAAATCATGGAACTTAATGATTTATATTTAATTTTGAAGGGAATATCAGGAGGTTTTATTTTGCAAGCCATTTTCATCCCTACATTAATGAAAAAATTGTTGCAGTATTAAGCCATTTGTTTATCATTTGTGAATGTTTTGTTATTATCTTCACTAATTTCAATTTTGCTAGATTGTTTACTTTTTTCATTAACAGCATCAAAAATAGTTTTGTTAAAATCGTGTTGATTTTCATTGATTTTTTCCCTATGATAGCTAAATTTTTGTTTAATAATTATATTAAGTGACATATAAATCCGAACACCCAGTTTAAATGGTTTTATTTTAATAAAAGTTGGTGACTGTAAATAACAAGTGAAAAAATTTTCAGCCTTATCAGTTGGACATTCCGGTTTTTATACTGCTTATTTTTTCAATTCACTAACGCTCTAAAAATGAATATTTAAGCCGCAGTAAAGAATCAACGTTGACGGATTTTGGTTCTTGACATCCTTTACGATCGGTTACGATGCCTAGAGTACGGAGACCTGTACGATTTCGTCAACTTAGTGAGTTTGATAGGGGTCGTATAGTGGGACTTCGGGAAGCTGGACTTTCTTTTCGGGCAATTGCAGTTAGAGTGCAAAGAAGTGTAGACACTGTGGTTAGGTGTTGTCAGGCATGGCTTCGAGAAGGCCGTACGCAAAGAGCAAGGGGCACTGGACGCCGCCGTAGAACAACAGACCGTGAAGATCGCCGCCTAAGATTATTGGCCTTAAGGGACCGTTTCTCCACTACCATGTCCATTGCAAATGAATGGTTTGCAGAACACGGAAGACCTATTGGCATGCGAAGTGTTTACCGACGAAAGAGAAGTTTTGGCTTGTTTTCATACCGGCCACACTGGGTCCTCCCTTTAACTCGAGAACACCGACGTGATCGCCTTGAGTGGTGCAGACAACGGTCACTCTGGGATCAGGAATGGAACAGTATTGTCTTTAGTGACAAGTCTCGATTTTGTTTAGGCATGCACGATGGTCGTGCCAGGGTTAGAAGGCGACGTGGTGAAAGGAGGAATCCACAGTTTTTTGTTGAAAGACATGTTTATCACACTGTTGGAGTTATGGTTTGGGGTGCTATAGCTTATGGTTCCAGGTCACCTTTAATCTTCATCAGAGGTAACATGAACGCGCAGTGTTATATCCACGAAGTTCTAGAACCCCATCTATTACCCTATCTTGACACCCTGGCAGATCCAACTTTCCAACAAGATAATGCCCGACCACATGTTGCAAGACTCGCAATAGACTTCTTTCAACATAATGATGTCACATTGTTACCATGGCCACCAAGATCTCCCGACTTATCCCCAATTGAGCACATGTGGGATATGATGGGTAGGAGATTGCTCAATTTGCAACGTCCTCCTCAGACTCTAGAAGCACTTCGAGAGGAGTTGGTGGTTGCCTGGAATGAGATACCACAGGAGGACATTGACCACCTGATCAGAAGCATGCCTAGGCGTGTTGGAGAATGCGTAGCACATCAGGGTGCATCCACACATTATTAAAGGTCAAAGGGCTTTAAAGCAGTGCAATCATTTTGAAATTTTTATCATTTACTTATTATGCTTCATTAAGTACTTATACAAAATTTTATTAAAATAAAACCATTTAAACTGGGTGTTCGGATTTATATGTCACTTAGTATATTTATGACTTTGAATGTGTGTATTTATATTTTTATGTGACAGGTTAATCAATATTGGATAATGATCTGTTACGTCATTTTGTAAAATAAATGAAGTAAGTTGATGAAAATCTGTTTTTAAGCTGTTTCTTATAAAAATGTGATCCAGACATGAGCTGCTGGTTGGTGTTACGCGTGTTGGACCGTTTATTGTACTACAAAACCCGAGAGAGCGTAAAAGGGAAAGATAAGCATTAACATCTATATTTTCTTTCTTAGAGATATCAATATTCATGTCGCCAATCAGAAATTCAATCTGTGTTTACCAGAATAATGGTCGTTCAAGTCGTCAAAAAATAATCGCAAAGATCTGGAAGGTGGTCTATAACCACAAAAAATTTCGTAAGTGATATCACGAAGATTAAACATAGTGACTTTTAATTTATTTAAAGTTGAATGAATGACCGAAGCATTTATATCCTCAATAGCCCAGCTTTCAGTCAGTATGATAATAACACAGTGTTTAAGATTAAAGATTATTCAAGAAAAATTAACAATTCTTTAAAATTCGTATGTGTACTACGAATATTAAGATGAGTTATGTTAAGTACATCATTATTCAAAGTTATTAAAGTCTTTAACACATCACAGACAGTCGTACCTTGTACCTCCTCATCCATGACATCCCAAAGTTCTCGAATCTCGATTTCTGGTCTGTTAGTATCCATGACACCCTCCTTAATCTATTTTACTTCGCAGAATTTCTAGGTGGTACTGGTAGGTTGGGCAATCGAGACTAGTGGCCTCATCACTAACGTCATACTTCTGATTGTACAGGGTGCGTCATCTATTACTTTTTCTTCTATTTGAAAAATCAACACCATCAAGCTGTTGATGATCTGCCGGCTTCAATTCTTGTGCTGGTTGGATTTTGTATGGATGGAGGTGTAAATCAATGTGTAAAATCCGGCGTAAAGTGGTCTCACCAATTCTCAATTGTTGCGAACGGTGCCTAGTCGAGGTGGTTGGATCTTCTCGCACCCTTTCACCCACTGCGGCTATGTTTTCACGATTACGAGCTGGACGAGCACGTTGGTATGGTCTACGACCTTCAGCTGAACCAGTTTCCCCAAAACGATTAGCAATCCAACGAATTCCAGGCTCTGTAGGGCGTCCATGTCAGCCAAAACTAGCGCGAAGTTTGCGAAAAGGATTTTTTATATTTCGACCGTTTTCGTAATAAGTTGTTGTGTTGTAAACGAATCCATGACTATAAATGACATGACATGTCTTTTGACTCACATGGTAACAAGCTAAAAAAAAAGTAATAGTATTTTGTATTTCTTCTAAGACAATTTATGCATTTTTTATTATTAGTTTTTGTACAGCTGAGAGTGCCATGTTGTTCAGCACAGTGTGCGCAAATCTCCGTTTGATTACGACACTGTGAATACTCCTAAAAATTATATATTTTTGTTGATAGGTGAAGTGGGCAAGGAAATGTATATAGTAAATCGGGGTAGACTCCAGGTAGTGGCCGACAATGGTCGTACGGTGCTAGCCACCTTAAAAGCAGGCAGTTACTTCGGTGAGATATCCATCCTGAATATGGGGACGGCAGGTAAACACCTTGGTAAATATCAGCAGGCAGGTTGGGACAATACATATCCATCATAGATAATATTTATGATATTATCAACGGGGTATTTGTACCATTTCTATTCTTTGTTAACTATTTTTACATGATATATGCATGTACTTCCGCCGTTCTCTTTTTATAAAAGTTTACCTTAGAGCTTTTTTGGACCTACCGTATCAGTATTGTGAAGTACATCTATTTTATTATTGACTCATTCTGCATGAGAGGCGGAAAACGATCATGATCAATAAAACTTCACAATCACCTCACTCTGCATCATCAATTTTCATCTCACCATTGTTTTTAATACGTCACATTCCATCTTTAAAGCAGTGGAGGACCTGTACCTTTCTATCAAGACGATCTATTTGACTATTAATGGGTTCTGATCGTTTTCTGCCATGAATGGACAAGTATAATGTATAAAACCCCTGCCTGGCTTGTATTTGACAACTCTTTTGATATTACCTAGATTTAAATAATTATAAGAAATAAAAAATGCATTTTAAAAGAAATTTTAGTAGTAGGCCAATTTTTTCATCTACATGTTTAGCTTCGTAACTAATTTATCTCTCCAGCTACCTTTGCGCTTTCAACAGTCTTGAATTGGTTCTTGAATTCTTTGCGTTCAACAACAGCCTGCATTTTTGGGAAAAAATATACAGGATGACTCACAAGTCGTGACTAAAAATGAGACATCATACACAAGACCGCTTTTTAAGGGGGGGTCTTCTATGTAACATTTCTTCCTCAAGGGCTTGATTAAAAAGATACGAGGTGTTGAAGTTTACATTTTTTATTTATTTTTAAACTTCAATCTTTTTGTGACTCACCCTGTATAAGAAACCACCTGTGATTCAATTGGTCTTTGTTACGATGGAAAAATTGGTCCAAATCTATCTAAATCACATATTTTTGCGACCATGAAAGTGAGGCAAGCATTAAAACAAAAAAACTAACAGAAACGAAAGTATTTTAGTAGGCAATCATCTCCCTTTTTCATATTATGTGCATTTGTCGACCCCCTACGGTGTAGGTATAGTACTTTTTGTCTGCAACCAATATATGGCTTTCAACCCCTCTGCATGTTTTGTTTATCTCCAAATAAATAACTAAAAGGGCTTCCGAATTTTTATCTTAAGCTTTTTGCTCTGAGACTGAATTCTAGTTTTATGCAGAAATAGTACAGTCTTCAGTGACTATGTTGTTATGATGTTATAAAGCTGATTCCAAAATTGCTCATTCTTTTCTTGTTCTCCAAATGAATTTCTTAATACTGGCAACGTTTCACATTATTCGAGGTAATTTCTGTCATGCTGTGTTACATATATTATGGAGACTGTATAACCGATCTGAATTTAAACGTAGACACAACTTAGATATAGTTAAAGCACAACCTCTACCAAAACCACGCAATGCAACTTTGCCATGCCTCCAAAGAGTCTTGCCCCTTTTAGCACAGCCTCTCCTCTATTTTCGACGCCTTAATTATTATTCTATAGAGCGAGTATGACGAAAACGTATTACCCAATATTACAAGCATCTCCAGAGTGTCTGGAAGATATGAGAAATTTCAGCAAATTAACATGGTACATGGAAAGTAAGTAACCTTGTATAATAGAATCTTCTCATACAGAGATATAGGCCCCCTAATCGACGCCACTGAATTGATTTTCCCTGACCAATACTGTCGTAGAGTGTAGATATTTTTGGAGGAAAAGGCACATCCTATGAACATTTGTTCTGGATAGTTGGTACAAAATTAATCTTTGGATAAATTTTGACCCAGAATCCGCTTTGCTCATCTACTTCTGAGTTACATAAATACAGTATATGCTCCTAGTGGAGCTGGAACGGTACTGAACAAGTCGTTCCAATGGAAATGGCTTGACATTAGCCCCATAGAAGACGGAAGTTGTTATAGTTTCTGGCAGACAGAAGCTGACTTCATTAGATGTTAAGGTTGATAATTCAGAGAGCTAAAATGCAATTAGGGATCTGGGTGTGTGGCTTGACAAAAATCTGAAAATGATTCAGCATATGCGCTACTGGGAAGGTTAATAATGTCGTTGCATATCTGATACGGCTTATGCCATCTGAAGGAGGCCGCAGTAGTGAGAAGTGCAGGATTTTTGCAGGGGTGGCAAACTCAATTATGATGTCCGCAAAGTTGGGGTTTTCCTTGTGAGACACTACTACGCTTGCTATAACAAAGCTAATGTGTGGTGAAACGTGGGCGAACAAGTAGAAAAAAAAATAAATGAAAAAGTACTCATTGTTCAGTTGAATTGAAATTCCAACTACGGCTCTGTGGTAAGATCCGTATTTACGTCGTAGTCGTACGTCGTATGACTGTGCGCTGGCGCTGGCGCTGCGGACGTGATCGAGAGATAGGACAGGACCGGCTTCGGTTTGGTTTAGGTTTGACGGAGTTTCCGAAGCCCATATCAAGGCATTGGTGTATATGCTAAACTCCAACTTTGCGGATACGCTGTATATAGCAAGGTCTTGAGGAAAAAGAAATATAAACATATAATACTGGGAAGCCAGCGAAAAGTAGTGCTACAGAACGGTGTCGACCGATGCACTATTGGTGGTAGCTGTTATCCCGCCAAATGATTTGCTGGCTGCTCCAAATGTGTGACGATTCTCAAGGCAATAGCTGTGGAAATTGGGGAACGGACCGTTTATGGATTCATTCTAGGTTGCAATTTTGTGTTTGTGTTAAATTCATAGCACTAGATGGAACCGAGATAGTGAAAATAACACTGGTCAACAAAATTTTAACTTTGTCGTGCCACACGGACTTTTTGATATTTTTTACTTTAATTGGTGATTGTAAGAAAAAATAAACAGTTAAAAAAAATTTGCTAGACAAGGATTTTATTCTATTGAGTAATTTAAAATATTAAGAAAAAACACAGATCTCGTAAATCAAAAGTTATTTTTTTTTTATAAATGACTTAATAATCTAAGATTTTCTTGAATATTTAGCTTCTGGTTGGTCCCTTTTAAATGTCCAGCAGTAATCTGCTAACATATTTGGGCTCCATTTGCCCTGGTACCGCTTTTCCATATTAGAAATGTCATGGAACCTCTCACCGTGCTCGTCGCTGACAGCCCCTAAATTGTCAGGAAAAAAATCCAGGTGCGAGTCTAAAAAATGGATCTTAAGTGACATGTTGCAACCCAATGCTTGATATGACAATAATAGCTCGCTAACCAACTCTCTGTAGCTGTCACTCTTGTGGTTACCCAAAAAATTTGAAACAACATTTTTAAAAGCCTTCCATGCAGATATTTCTAAATCGCTTAATTTTTCTTCAAATCTTGAATCTTTTATTAACTCCCTAATTTGAGGGCCAACAAAAATACCCTCTTTTATCTTTGCATCACTTATTTCAGGGAATTTTTCTTTTAGATACAAAAATCCACTCCCTTTGCGATCCATTGCCTTCACAAAAATTTTTATTAACCCTAATTTGATATGCAATGGTGGTAGAAGCACATTATTTGGCTGTACAAGGAGTAAATACGTTTTTTTGCCCAGGAACTAACGATGCACGCGTAGGCCATGTTTTTTTTATATAGTGATTAGTTCTGTCTCGGCTATCCCATTCACATAAAAAGCAGCAAAACTTTGTATAACCCAGCTGAAGTCCAAGTAATAGTGCAACAACTTTAAGATCATCGCAGATTTTGAAGGAATATGTACTGTAATTTATTTTTTCAAGTAAAAGTTTCATATTTTCATAGGTTTCTTTCATATTTGCAGCATGGGCCAGAGGTACAGACGGAAGCTTATTTCCATTATGCAATAACACTGCTTTTAGACTTGCTTTCGAAGAATCAATGAATAAACGCCACTGAGAGAGATCAAAATCTATGTCCAACATTTTCATAATCTCATTTATGTTATTGCAAAACACCAAATCTCCATCCTGAGAAAAATACGTTCTGAAGTGTTGATCACGGTTTCGAAAATAGCTAACTTTTGTATTATGATGTAGCAAATTCCATTCTTTTAGACGTGATCCTAATAGTTCTGACTGCTTTTTTGACAAATTTAAATCCCGAACCAAATCATTTAGGTCTCCTTGAGTTATCAGATGTGGCTCGTTTAAAATTCCTTTCAACTCAAAGTCATCGTCCTCGTCAACACATTCACCTGAAGTGGACGGTTGTGAATTGTTCTCAACAGACGTAGTTGCAACTGGTATTAGTTCTGGCAATTTTGTACAATGAAAGACTGGTCTTATAGCCGAAGATAAGTTAGGGTAAATAACTGTGGTTTTTTTCTTGTAATTTATACCTTTTATGTCTGTGAGACAAAAATAGCAATCTGAAACGTGATCTCGCTGTTCAGTCCATATCATGGGTACAGCAAACGGCATAGGTCGTGCACCTTTCTTCCAGTCAGTTAAATTTTTCACACACGTTATGCAACAGACATGAGGGGCCCAGGATTTGTCTTGATGGGCGACAGAAAAACCAAAACATTGGTGATAACACTCCAACACAAGATTCGTAAAATTTCGTCGTTGTTTTTTGAATGTTAGTTCTCCGCAGACATAACAAAAACAGTTAGGATCATTATTACACTTCCTCGACATATTCACAGGGTTAATAAATCACAAAAAAGTGTTCAAATTCAACAACAAATATTTTTATAAGGATTTACTTGTAAGCGTTTCTGTTAATTTCCTGCCGTAGTACTAGTTATGAGTATTACCGTATCACAACAAATATGAGGCTAATAGACATATGACAGCTGTCATATAATAATGAGGGTAGACTGATAAAACAAAATTAGCTGTAAAAGTTCGTGTGGCAAAACCAGTGTTGACCAGTGTAATATTAAATTGGCGTAAAAGGCTCAGTGATATAGAAAAAAATCTGTGGCGATGAAACGCAAACAGTGGCAAAAAACTGTCGCACTCGTTATTATTGACGCATGCTGCATGAGAGGCAGAAATTGGTCATGGTTTTAAAAACCTTACAATCACGTCTTTCTCTGTAGCTTCGGTCTTACAATCGATAGCTCATACTGATTAAGACCCCCAACCAACCCAATAAGTTATAGGCCTCAAAATGTCTCCAAAATGCAGAGACACAAAAGATTACAGACTCAGTCAAATTAATGTCCCAAGTATGCAAGTTCTAGTCCCGTCCAAGAGTATTTTTCTCTTGTCTGTAGGAGGTAGATGGTCTCTGACTATAGAACGGGGCGGTACCACCCGGCGGATCTCTGAGGCGAGGCCAGAATGTGTGCATGTTGCATGCTCACATGCTCTCTCGCCCACCCTGGGCGTTTAGGCTTTAGGTCTTCGTGGTGGTTCAAGTATTAAAAAAATACCGACTTGGACCGATCTTGAGATTAGCTGAGTCTTGCACTTTGCGTCCCTGAGACATTTCTTCAGGTTGCCCAAACGCATAACATATAAAAAAGCAACGAATTCAAGCTGTTGGAGGGTCTTTCCTCCAACAAACGCGAGGTTTTCATTCCGCTTGAATGGTAATATGTTTCTCCGCATACTCGACCTTCAGATAATAACTTTTAGGCAAAAGTACCACTATAGTAACATCATCCATACGTTGCTTGGCCTGATCCAGCACCCTCGGAATGACCCTACAATGCATTATTTCCTCAGAAAAATCTGTGTTACGTCGGCAGGTAACCGTCGAACAGCCAGCGTTCGGTCAGTGGGCTACAGCGACTTGTTTGTGTTAAGCAAAAAGGACATGTGGGACGTACTGAAAGAGTACCCGGCAGCGAGGGTCAGACTGGAGGCGATTGCCGTGAAGAGGTTGGAGAAATACAAACGGGCACCGCTTGAGAAAGGTAACTTCCCGCTAAATTTGTGTCGATGTGTTTTTTTACCGATGTGTTCTAGCTGCAATGGGTCGCAGCCAATCAACGCCAGGCCTGGTGGAATCGCGAGGTCGCATCGCCTTGGAGGACATGTGGGTACCTCCTTACCCTCCAGTTATCCTCATGCAGCCTCAATCGTTCCAATCGCAGTCGTTGCAGCCTCTACCTCCTCAACCGACACAGGGACCACCTCCTCCTTCGGCAGCTGTCACTCCTGACAGCCCAGGCGCTGCTTCTACCAGCAGCGGGAGGAGCCATCAGCACCACTTGCAGGAGAACAGATCTGGTAGGTGTTCCGCAGTCCTTTTTACGTAAATAAGATTAACTGCTGTCTTGATTCGGGTCTAGTGGCCGTCGTCGGTTGGAATTTCTTCCTAACGTTTCGCTAGCACCAGTGGCAAGCTTCTTCAGAGGTCCTTCCATTTCCGATGCTTAATGTAGACTGTCGTCCGAGCAGTGCCGATCGACATCCCGAAGTCAACCGAAGCGGAACAAGCCACGTCCCCTACCCTCCGGTATAAATACAACCTACAACGGCGTTTAGGCCCGTATCGTCAGTCGTCCCTACAATTGTAGGGCGCGTTTATGGCCTGCTTGATTGTCATACTCCTTTCTCTCCTTCAAAAATTTCTAGATTACACTTGTCCCGTGTCAGCCGCAGCGCTCTCCTGTTGTGAAGATATGTTTTCCTTTTAAATTGCAGGAAATTTCAGGCTGATAAAACATGATATAACTCAAAAGCAAGCAGAATTTGACACAAATAGATGTTTGTGACATAACCTCAAAATAGAGCACTGACATGGAGAAATAGAAAACTATGACAATCAAGGAGGCCATAAAGGCGCCCTACAATTGTACGGACGACTCACGATACGGGCCTTAGACCCGAATCAAGACAGCAGCTTATCAACTGGTCGCGAAAGCCTTAACCAATTTGTCGTAAATAAGATTGTTCAAAGCTCAGATTGACATAAATAACCTACATGGCATGGTTTGTTTCTCCAAAGCCCTTCTAAACCGCTTGAGCTCGGATTTTTTCTCTACCGTTGTGCTATCAGAATCAATTTGGTGGGTGAAAACTAATCGTATTTTCTTATTTTCAGGTACAATGCTCCAGTGTGATAGTATGACTCAATTAATGTCTGGAGTAACTACACCCATTTTAGGATCACATGATGTCTTGGAATCCGAAATTAAGAGGTAAGATCGATAGGCAAAACTCGTACAAAATAATGAAAAATAAGATATTAAATTATGAAAAAGCGAATGAAATTTGATGCGGTTACGCCAAAACGTCGATCGGAAGCTACCCGTAGCTCACAAAGGCGATTCTGGTGGCTCACAACATATTTTAAAAAGGTGTAAAGACCATCGAAGAAATTTTGTAAATTCTCATAAAAAAAACAAGCAGCGGCAACACTGCGGTGAGCGATCTGTTCGAGAGCGATCTCGAACGGAATAAATACGCAAGGTGCGGCGAGTTTTTTTATACCGAAGTATGTTATCCCTCCAAAACTGTGTTATCCTATCTATACTAAGTGACATATAAATCCGAACACCCAGTTTAAATTGTTTTATTTTAATAAAAGTTGGTGAATGTATTTATCTTACTGTAAATAACAAGTGAAAAAATTTTCAGCTTTATCAGTTTGGACATTCCGGTTTTTATACTGCTTTTTTTTAATTCACTAACGCTCTAAAAATGAATATTTCCGCCGCAGTAAATAATCAACGTTGGCGGATTTTGGTTCTTGACATCCTTTACGATCGGTTACGATGGCTAGAGTACGGAGACCTGTACGATTTCGTCAACTTAGTGAGTTTGATAGGGGCCGTATAGTGGGACTTTGGGAAGCTGGACTTTCTTTTCGGGCAATTGCAGTTAGAGTGCAAAGAAGTGTAGACACTGTGGTTAGGTGTTGTCAGGCATGACTTCGAGAAGGCCGTACGCAAAGAGTACGGGGCACTGGATGCCGCCGTAGAACAACAGACCGTGAAGATCGCCGCCTAAGATTATTGGCCTTAAGGGACCGTTTCTCCACTACCAGGTCCATTGCAAATGAATGGTTTGCAGAACACGGAAGACCTACTGGCATGCGAAGTGTTTACCGACGAATGAGAAGTTTTGGCTTGTTTTCATACCGGCCACACTGGGTCCTCCCTTTAACTCGAGAACACCAACGTAATCGCCTTGAGTGGTGCAGACAACGGTCACTCTGGGATCAGAAATGGAACAGTATTGTCTTTAATGATGAGTCTCGATTTTGTTTAGGCATGCACGATGGTCGTGCCAGGGTTAGAAGGCGACGTCGTGAAAGGAGGAATCCACAGTTTTTTGTTGAAAGACATGTTCATCACACTGTTGGAGTTATGGTTTGTTGTGCTATAGCTTATGGTTCCAGATCACCTTTAATCTTCATCAGAGGTAACATGAACGCGCAGCGTTATATCCACGAAGTTCTAGAACCCCATCTTTTACCCTATCTTGACACCTTGGCAGATCCAACTTTCCAACAAGTTAATGCCCGACCACATGTTGCAAGAGTCACAATAGACTTCTTTCAACATAATGATGTCACATTGTTACCATGGCCACCAAGATCTCCCGGCTTATCCCCAATTGAGCACGTGTGGGATATGATGGGTAGGATATTGCTCAATTTGCAACGTCCTCCTCAGACTCTAGAAGCACTTCGAGAGGAGTTGGTGGTTGCCTGGTATGAGATACCACAGGAGGACATTGACCACCTGATTAGAAGCATGCCTAGGCGCTTTGGAGAATGCGTAGTACATCAGGCTGCATCCACACATTATTAAAGGTCAAAGGGCTTTAAAGCAGTGCAATCATTTTGAAATTTTTATCATTTACTTATTATGCTTCATTAAGTACTTATACAAAATTTTATTAAAATAAAACCATTTAAGCTGGGTGTTCGGATTCATATGTCACTTAGTATATATTGCTAGTTATAATTTGTGGAAAAAGTATAAGTAACCCTGTGCTGAGTTGGTAGATAATATGACCTCAGAGTATAGTTCTTTGTACTTTGGTCTTTGATACAAATGGTTGAGGTTTGGGTGCCGCCTGGAAAAAGAAATAACAAGTAGTGCCAAAACTTAAACGAACGGGTTCACGGAAATGGGGGACTGCTCCTCGACATGAATCCTACTTATAAATCGTTTTCGGAGTGCCAATGCAGACAGTTTCCCTTAGCTCGATGGTTAATTGTACCTGTAACAACGGGTAAATCCCCGAGATGGTGAGAAAAGGGCTCCGACAGCAAAGGAGGCCAATTTCTATCAAAATCTCCACAACCCGGAAAATCCGACAATGGGTGTGAAATTATTTCACTAACGCAGGTTGTGGCCGCTGAATTCCTACACGAGAGCACCTTCAGCTCTTTACAGGAATTGTAAAAAGATACCTTCAACGAGACGGATAGTAGAGCACGATTTTCTACCACAGAATTATTAAACCGAGACAGTGTTTTGCTATAAAAACTAAATTCAATATTTTCAAGAACTGTTATAAAGTTATTATTCTAAATAAGAAAAACGTTATAATTTACTTTATCAAGGTATAGTTAATTTTTGATCGACCATAAAAAGAAACTACAGGGTGCGGCAGAGAGGACCGACGTTTTTGGGATCTGTCTCCGCCTCGGTCAACGAGAGAGGCGGGGAGGGTGCCGTTTGACTCGTGAGATCCTAGCATTATTTTACCAGTTGTCGTTATGGAGCCTTGGACGGTGGAACACCGCGTTTTCGCCTATGATTGTTTCGTCCGAAATAATGAGTCAGTCATCGTCGTACAGCGTGAGTTTCGTCGCCACTTCAACATTCATCGGAATAGAGCTGTTCCCTCTCGAAACACCATCCTTCGTTGGGTTGAATCACTTCGCAGGCGTGGTGAACTGATCAACAGAAGACCAAGAGGAGCGCCGCGAACAGTTCGAACATGATCACCAACTTCTTTCTCCCTGAATTAAGACGGCAACGTGTTCCAATCCGACGTGTGTGGCGAGCGCCCACACAGCCCGAGCATCCATGGACGTTATTCGCCCTCTCTTCCCTGGTCGCCTTATTTCCAGGTTGGGCGATGTTCATTGGCCTCCTCGGTCCCCAGATTTATCCATATGCGATTTTTTCTTATGGGGACACCTCAAGGCTAGAGTATACGCGAACAAGCCCCGAACTCTGGACGAATTGAAGGGCGAAACTCGCGTGAAATTCGCCCAAGTTGAGAGAGCGATGTTGGAGAGAGTCTACGCGAACTTCCAAGAACGCCTCCAGCACCGCATCAACGATTTCGGCCACCACATGCCTGATATGATTTTCCACACTTGACTGTCTCAAATGCTATTTCCTTGTGAACCTGATTCCATCAATAAATTTGTTTTCGAGTAAAAATTAACTATTTTATGATTTTTCTAAAACCGTCCATCCTCTCTGCCGCACCCTGTATAACAAGGTATGCGGGACATTTCGAAAATTGTTTCATCGGAAGCCTGAAAATCTTTAGGAGTTTATGAAGCCTACCGTGGATAATTTATTGTCTTCAACGGATTTCGCTCTGCCCCGAGGCACCTTCAGCCGCAACTCCCTAGTTTGCTGTGGGCCCTCCACGCAGCTCAAGAAGATCCTGACAAGTAAACAATCTTGATAATTTATTGTCTTCAACGGATTTCGCTCTGCCCTGAGGCACCTTCAGCCGCAACTCCCTAGTTTGCTGTGGGCCCTCCACGCAGCTCAAGAAGATCCTGACAAGTAAGCAATCTTGATTCTTTCTTTCTTAGATTACGGGAACGCCTGCACACCGTCGAAGCCGAGAACGCTGCGATGTCCGTCAAACTGCACCAACAGCAATGGGAGCTCGAACATCGCTTGGCCGAAATCGAACTCCAAATCTGCCGCAGCGGCGCCACCAGCCAAGCGGGAGGCATCGACGGCCGATCGCACTCCTCCTCGAGCGTGGCGGGGGAGGAAGACGAGGACATCCTCAACGAAGAGGAGCAAGAGGATGACGAGAGGAACAGAGAGAGTATCATTTAACGACGAGTACAGCTGCCTCCGGCGCCAGGGTGCCAGCAGCAAGCGGGCACCACGATCGTCTACGTGCGATGCATTGTCTGAGGGGCCGGTTACACCAGGCGATACTGTCGCAAGGTTATTTTACGAGAATCAGGTATTTGAAATCTGAATCCCACCTCTGGGATCACAATCATTAAAGATCTTCTTTCGCGGTTTCTCAAGTAATTTACTGTAATTTTTTATTGCCCACATTGTCTTCAAATTACAAACGAAGTTCAATAAACGCTATGAAAAAGAAATATAGGGATCTTCTGATGAAGAACCACAAACTTTTCGATGACATACCTAACTAATTTTTCGAAACGATGAGGCGTCACAAAAATAATAGTCAATCAAGCAAATCGCCTTCATTATATAGCGTCTTTTCAAAGTTGAGTCATCATTGAGTTGAGTTCATTGAGTCAAAACAAAGACAATCTTTAAAATAGCCGGGTATTGCATTAATCTATTTTGAGGTTAATATGCTGGTGCTGCGACTTAACTCTAACCTATTTATGAATTGAGGTCGCTTTAGTTAAGCTATGAGGTCTATTTGGAATTAATTAAGGTCATTCTCCAGAAAAAAAAACAGGGGATCAAGCCCAACTGTCACTTCAAGGAAAAACTCCCAAAAAGTCGAACAACTGAGCTAGGTCGTTGAGTCCGGATTTACAGTACTTTGTTATTATGAGGTCTGCTGGAGGATATCCCAAGGTCAAATTCCCAAAATTCGAGCAATCAGTCCCAACCAGCTATCTTGCAGATTTTCCAGGTTGTTGGGCTCAAATCCATAGGAACTTGTCTGCATGAAATCCGTTGAGAGTCACTTCAAGGACAAGCTCCCAAAAAGTCGAACAACTGAGCCAGGTCGTTGAGTCCGGATTCACAGTAGTTTATTGTGAGGTCAGCTGAAGGATAGCCCAAGGTCAAATTCCCAAAAGTCAAGCAATCAGGCCCAACTGGCTATCTTGCAGATTTTCCAGGTCGTTGGGCTCAAATCTATAGGAACCTGTCTGCATGAGGTCCGTTGAGAATCACTTCAAGGACAAACTACCAAAAAGTCGAACAACTGGGCTAGGTCGTTGAGTCCGGATCCATAGTAGTTTGTTATTATGAGGCCAGCTGAAGGATATCCCAAGGTCAAATTCCCAAAATTCGAGCAATCAGTCCCAACCAGCTATCTTGCAGATTTTCCAGGTTGTTGGGCTGAAATCCATAGGAACTTGTCTGCATGAGATCCGTTGAGAGTCACTTCAAGGACAAACTCCGAAAAAGTCGAACAACTGAGCAAGGTCATTGAGTCCGGATTCACAGTAGTTTATTATGAGGTCAGCTGAAGAATATCCCAAGGTCAAATTCCCAAAGGTCGAGCAATCAAGCCCAACTAACTATCATGCAGATTGTTCAGGTCGTTGGGCTCAAATCCACATGAACTTGTTTGCATGAGATCCGTTGAGAGTCACTTCAAGAACAAACTCCCAAAAAGTCGAACAACTGAACAAGATCGTTGAGTCCGGATTCACAGTAGTTTATTATCAGGTCAGCTGAAGGATATCCCAAGGTCAAATTCCCAAAATTCGAGCAATCAGCCCCAACCAGCTATCTTGCAGATTTTCCAGGTTGTTGGGCTCAAATCCATAGGAACTTGTCTGCATGAGATCCGTTGAGAGTCACTTCAAGGACAAACTCCGAAAAAGTCGAACAACTGAGCGAGGTCGTTGAGTCCGGATTCACAGTAGTTTATTGTGAGGTCAGCTGAAGGATAGCCCAAGGTCAAATTCCCAAAAGTCAAGCAATCAGGCCCAACTGGTTATCTTGCAGATTTTCCAGGTCGTTAAGCTCAAATCCATAGGAACCTGTCTGCACGAAGTCGGTTGAGAATTACTTCAAGAACAAACTCCGAAAAAGTCGAACAACTGAGCAAGGTCATTGAGTCCGGATTCACAGTAGTTTATTATGAGGTCAGCTGAAGAATATCCCAAGGTCAAATTCCCAAAAGTCGAGCAATCAGGCCCAACTGGCTATCTTGCAGATTTTCCAGGTCGTTGGGCTCAAATCTATAGGAACCTGTCTGCATGAGGTCCGTTGAGAATCACTTCAAGGACAAACTACCAAAAAGTCGAACAACTGGGCTAGGTCGTTGAGTCCGGATCCATAGTAGTTTGTTATTATGAGGCCAGCTGAAGGATATCCCAAGGTCAAATTCCCAAAATTCGAGCAATCAGCCCCAACCAGCTATCTTGCAGATTTTCCAGGTTGTTGGGCTCAAATCCATAGGAACTTGTCTGCATGAGATCCGTTGAGAGTCACTTCAAGGACAAACTCCGAAAAAGTCGAACAACTGAGCCAGGTCGTTGAGTCCGGATTCACAGTAGTTTATTATGAGGTCAGCTGAAGGATAGCCCAAGGTCAAATTCCCAAAAGTCACGCAATCAGGCCCAACTGGTTATCTTGCAGATTTTCCAGGTCGTTAAGCTCAAATCCATAGCAACCTGTCTGCACGAAGTCGGTTGAGAATTACTTCAAGAACAAACTCCGAAAAAGTCGAACAACTGAGCAAGGTCATTGAGTCCGGATTCACAGTAGTTTATTATGAGGTCAGCTGAAGAATATCCCAAGGTCAAATTCCCAAAGGTCGAGCAATCAAGCCCAACTAACTATCATGCAGATTGTTCAGGTCGTTGGGCTCAAATCCACATGAACTTGTTTGCATGAGATCCGTTGAGAGTCACTTCAAGAACAAACTCCCAAAAAGTCGAACAACTGAACAAGATCGTTGAGTCCGGATTCACAGTAGTTTATTATCAGGTCAGCTGAAGGATATCCCAAGGTCAAATTCCCAAAATTCGAGCAATCAGCCCCAACCAGCTATCTTGCAGATTTTCCAGGTTGTTGGGCTCAAATCCATAGGAACTTGTCTGCATGAGATCCGTTGAGAGTCACTTCAAGGACAAACTCCGAAAAAGTCGAACAACTGAGCGAGGTCGTTGAGTCCGGATTCACAGTAGTTTATTGTGAGGTCAGCTGAAGGATAGCCCAAGGTCAAATTCCCAAAAGTCAAGCAATCAGGCCCAACTGGTTATCTTGCAGATTTTCCAGGTCGTTAAGCTCAAATCCATAGGAACCTGTCTGCACGAAGTCGGTTGAGAATTACTTCAAGAACAAACTCCGAAAAAGTCGAACAACTGAGCAAGGTCATTGAGTCCGGATTCACAGTAGTTTATTATGAGGTCAGCTGAAGAATATCCCAAGGTCAAATTCCCAAAAGTCGAGCAATCAGGCCCAACTGGCTATCTTGCAGATTTTCCAGGTCGTTGGGCTCAAATCTATAGGAACCTGTCTGCATGAGGTCCGTTGAGAATCACTTCAAGGACAAACTACCAAAAAGTCGAACAACTGGGCTAGGTCGTTGAGTCCGGATCCATAGTAGTTTGTTATTATGAGGCCAGCTGAAGGATATCCCAAGGTCAAATTCCCAAAATTCGAGCAATCAGCCCCAACCAGCTATCTTGCAGATTTTCCAGGTTGTTGGGCTCAAATCCATAGGAACTTGTCTGCATGAGATCCGTTGAGAGTCACTTCAAGGACAAACTCCGAAAAAGTCGAACAACTGAGCCAGGTCGTTGAGTCCGGATTCACAGTAGTTTATTATGAGGTCAGCTGAAGGATAGCCCAAGGTCAAATTCCCAAAAGTCACGCAATCAGGCCCAACTGGTTATCTTGCAGATTTTCCAGGTCGTTAAGCTCAAATCCATAGCAACCTGTCTGCACGAAGTCGGTTGAGAATTACTTCAAGAACAAACTCCGAAAAAGTCGAACAACTGAGCAAGGTCATTGAGTCCGGATTCACAGTAGTTTATTATGAGGTCAGCTGAAGAATATCCCAAGGTCAAATTCCCAAAGGTCGAGCAATCAAGCCCAACTAACTATCATGCAGATTGTTCAGGTCGTTGGGCTCAAATCCACATGAACTTGTTTGCATGAGATCCGTTGAGAGTCACTTCAAGAACAAACTCCCAAAAAGTCGAACAACTGAACAAGATCGTTAAGTCCGGATTCACAGTAGTTTATTATGAGGTCAGCTGAAGGATATCCCAAGGTCAAATTCCCAAAAGTCGAGCAATCAAGCCCAACTAACTATCTTGCAGATTTTTCAGGTCGTTGGGCTCAAATCCACATGAACTTGTTTGCATGAGATCCGTTGAGAGTCACTTCAAGAACAAACTCCCAAAAAGTCGAACAACTGAACAAGGTCGTTGAGTCCGGATTCACAGTAGTTTATTATGAGGCCAGCTGAAGGTTATCCCAAGGTCAAATTCCCAAAATTCGACCAATCAGTCCCAACTAGGTATCTTGCAGATTTTCCAAGTTGTTGGGCTCAAATCCATAGGAACTTGTCTGCATGAGGTCCGTTGAGAGTCACTTCAAGGACAAACTCCCAAAAAGTCGAACAACTGAGCTAGGTCGTTGAGTCCGGATTCACAGTACTTTGTTATTATGAGGTCAGCTGAAGGATATCCCAAGGTCAAATTCCCAGAAGTCAAGCAATCAGGCCCAACTTGCTATGTTGCAGATTTTTCAGGTCGTTGGGCTCAAATCCATAGGAAGTTGTCTGCATGAGGTCCGCTGAGGGTCATTTCAAGGGCAAACCCCCCAAAAGTCGAACAACTGAGCCAGGCCGTTGAGTCCGGATTCACAGTAGTTTGTTATTATCATGCCAGCTGACGGGTATGTCAAGCTCAAGTTCCCAACAGTCGAGCAATCAGGCCCAACTGGCTTTTTGCAGATTTTCCAGGTCGTTGGGATCAAATTCATAGGAACTTGTCTGCATGAGATCCGTTGAGAGTCACTTCAAGGACAAACTCCCAAAAAGTCGAACAACTGAGTCAGGTCGTTGAGTCCGGATTAACAGTAGTTTGTTATTATGAGGTCAACTGAAGTGTATCTCAAGGTCAAATTCCCAAAGGCCAAGCAATCAGGCCCAACTGTGGTAGAGACAAAGTGACCTTGGGTTAGGCCTAAGTGACCGCAAAAGCTTATAGATAGAGTCAACCCCCGAAAACAGCATACCAACCTCTAGAATTCCGTAAAATTTGAGTAGTTTTAGAAGTAGAAATGTTGCCCTACTAAAACAACCTTGCGACAGTATTGGCCGTGTAAGAGGTACCCAACCGTGCCGGAGGTGGCGATATCTTAAGCGTCGTCTACACTAAGGCGCAATATCTGATGGAACTCTGCAATTTACAAGTTTTGCAAATTGCAACTAAATGTGACCGACAAAGCTATGTATAGATTATACACCGTCAAACCTTTCAAGATGTGTTCAAAATGTTTTGAATTTAGTATCACCTAAAAGTAAATTTCTGGAACACAAAAAGGTGGTTAAAAAGTAATCGATTTTGTGGTATTGATCAGGATACCGAATTACCGATATGGGTCAAAAGTACCAACTGAAAATGTATTGTAAATATAATGAGACTGATGTTCTGACAGGCATT